AAATGATGCAGCCTTTAGGAGAATCTTTTTTCTATCAATTTGGGGTGAGTGGTGACAATATTGTTTTGTACTGTCTGATGCAGATCAAGTGGAAGGTAAGATTGTACGCTGTCTATCAACTCGTGTGTGTAGCTTTTTACCTTTATACTAACAGAGCAACATGGGCCTCCCAATATATAGTATAGTTCCTCTGTTACATAGAAAATTATTACTGAAAGGTTATAGAGAAAAAAACAACGGCCTAAAGTAAAGCAGTATTTCAAGTGTTCTCAGAATTGAAAGGTGCAGTTTTAAAGCAGGACTTGTACGAAGATGTTGCCATCTCTATTTACGGTCAGACTTCTCTATAACAGTTATTCACTGTAAAAGTCAAGTTTTTTATGGAACCAGTTTTTATACTATGTTATAATATATGTTTTCTATAATGGCACTATGTTATAATAACCAAAAAATCTTGGAACAAATGAGGCTGTAATAGGAATGCAGTATGAGAGAGAGGTGTTCTTGATTAGGATAAGAAACCTGTGAACTACATGCTTTGAATGGAGAAATTTTTCTTAGCAATGCTGAAATTAAGGCAGTTTTTTTGAACAGTTTATTTGGAATATTTTTGAAGTTGTAAGTGAATTTATTTCCTTCTTATGGCGAGCTATTGTTTAAATATTTCACCCGAAATTAAGAGAAAAGAGTCGTCCTTCCAACGATATCAATAAAACTGCAACTTTTTTTTTTACAAGAGAGAATATTAGCATGACCCCTGAGCAAGGAAGATAGTACTAAACATAACCCTCAGCAAGGATAATGCGCGTAAATTGAAAAATATTCCAATTTGAAATAAGAAAGATAAATTGAAAGTGTTATGGCCTTGCATTGCTAGTAAGACGACCAATTCAATTCTACAACTGATATTGCTATACCGGTAGATGCTCAAGGAGATGTTCTTTGTAGTAAACCTCAAGATCAAAGTAGCTTTTGTTCAACAACAACAACGACTCGGTGAAATTTTACTAGTGGGGTCTGGAAAGGGTAGTCTATACGCAGACCTGACCCCTACTCCGAACGAGTAGAAATTCTATTTTCGATAGACTCTCGACTTAAAAAGACGAATAAAGTAGTTTTTGTTAGTTTCTAGAATATGATAATTATGTGCGTGTGGATTTGTACACAAAAACAATTGAGTATACGCAGCATATATAAGATCTTTACACATCATTTTCCATATGAGTGGTTTTTTTAAATATATCTTTTTCTCTTTTTGGGATCAAATATAGGAATGGACCGAACGGTAAGTCTATGAAATTGTTGTTCGAGTTGATTTAAAAGAAGGCTTGCGTTATTTAAATTTCTAATTGTGATTTTTTAGAAGAAAGAAGAGAAGGAATTAGGTCATTTCGAAAGAGAAACGAAAAGTGAAATGGATAATATATGTTATAATGCTACTTCACAAAATCCCAATTAATTAAGAAAAAAGACGTAAATATTGGCTGTCACATTAAATTAAAAATTCAGTTGGGAATTTGGGATAAGAAGATCGGATGGTCCAAGCTAGATTTTGTCTAGTGGCGATTTATAGACAACATAATCATTTTCGTACCATAAGGCCAATGACATAATATACCATATTCCACTAAATAAAACTATCATAATTAATTATTATCAGTATCCTGCAGCTTTTTTGCTCAAAGATTTGCTCTATTTATACTTGTTTTCGCATATACATATAGGATCTGAGTTGAGGAAGTGAATTCTGTCGAACTTGCGAGCCCATACTACTAAAATTACTAGAAGAAAAACCAAATTTAACCTTCTTTTCCTAAGCTAAATTATGTAATGTACTTGGGATGTTGGATGAAATTACTAATTTAAGTCGGCGTTTGGACATAAGAATTGTAAAATTCCGAGAAAAAGTGAATTTTTTTAAAAGTGAAAATGGTATTTGAAAATTATAGTTGTGTTTACAACATGAATATAATTTTGGGTTGTTTTTGAATTTTTATGAGTGATCCGACTGAAAATTTTGAAAAATAGACTTTCGAAGTTTTTCAAATTTTCGAAAAGTACCAAAATTCATCTTCAAGTGAAAATTAAAAATTTTATGACTAAACACTGATTTCGAAAAAAAATTAAAAAAAATTTCATGGCCAAACGGGAAAGTCACTAATAATCGAAATAGTTTAGGCGCCTAAAAGAAAAAGCACTAAGATTTTGAGCTAATTTCTGCAATTATTGGTTCATGGAATCCTGCGATCACCTTAATAGTAATTCGGCGCACAAATTGACTCTAAATTCCATGCTATTCTTAGTGAAAGTGAGTTGACAGGAAAACCACTTAATTTTAGTTTATATCTTTATGGCAATTAGCTGGAATGGGCCTACCACTAATAATTGCTGCTGTTATGACAAAATATATTTATTAGTATTTCTTTTTATAGTGTTTTCAAGATGACTAATGGACTATTAATGGCCATTTGTTTTATAATTAGCTAGATGATTGATTGGTCTTTTGACCAAACAGCCAATGGGGATTTTGTCTCATGTTTTACAAAAGTAAAATCTGTCAAATAATTGTAGATTGATTTTGTCCCCGTTCGGCCATAGATTTTGCCAAGTTTTTTCCATTTTTTTTTTAAAAAATATGTTTGTTTATAAATTTTATCCATGTTTTGGCAAATTTGAAAATAAAATTCAAATCTCAAAACTAGCTCTAAACCTGTTTTTGGCCAAAAGTATTTTTGTTTGTTTTTTTAACAATTTTAAAAATTACCCCAAATTATATTTTATGAAAAAACTCACCATCTATTATGAACCAACTAATCCACCAACTAATTACTATCATTTTCTTTTGACTGATGGACCTTGTAATATTATTGTAATTTGACGAACTATAATGGCTAGTAATTGTGTTATTATTAAAATATCAAGTTATGATTTTAGGATAATGTATTACGTAGTTCATTATAAAAATGATAATTTTGTGCCAAACTTACCTATGTTTAGGACTATGGTTTGTGATAATGATAATGAGGGGCATCGATAAAGGTTCTGCATATACAGGATTAACAAGTTTATTTGTTTGGTATTGTTGGGTATTTTTGATAGTTTTTAGAACTTATGTGTATAAGGCACATTTCATATTTTTTTCAAAAGAAAAAAGTGAAATATGGTTTGAAAAATTATATCCAAACAAATTTTCATCTTCAAACTAAACTTTATCCAAATAAAGTTTTTTTAAACAAATTTAAAAATCTATGGCCAAACTCTAATTTAGTATATGCAGTTTCTTCGTGTGGTTTCGAGTGGAAATCATCATCTTGTATGTTCGTTTTGGAGTAATTCTATCAACTTGGTTCATTGAACTTATGGTTAGTGTTGCGGCTATAATAACTAATGAGGAGTCAGTTTATCTGCATGGGAATTATATTATATTATATATATGCTGACAGAGTGATTTTAATTTAACCTGTTACTAGCAAGTTATCTACTTTATATTTTGGATTATCAAATTATGTTTGTTATAAACGGAACGGTTATGATAACTTAACTAGTAAATTAATCCGCGCTTCGCGCGATTTTCTGGAAGGACACAAATGACATTACAAAAATAATTTTTTTTGTGTGAATTTTGTTGAAAAAATGAAGAATCATGAGAAATGGTGAATTACATTCTTATTTGTATAAATCAGGCTACTAATACCAGAATTACATTCTTATTTATATAAATCAGGCTACTAATAGCATACCGATAATAATTTAGCCAAGTAGAACAATGAAAGAAAAGGCACAAATATATTTGCTTCTAAAGCTTGTTGAATGAGAATTTACTATATAATTCGAATAAAACTATTTCATGTCACACTATATCACCATTCAGTACTTCAAAGTTACCATCAAATGCGCTTGACAGTGACGTCTCTTCGGAAGTCTTAAGTTTACATTGAGTCCTTGAATATAACAACAACGAAAAAAGTAAAAAATTTATTGATTGAAAAGAAAATAAAAAAAAAGGGTTAGTTACCCCAAAAATGGTTATCACGTATTAGGGGAAAATCAAAAGTTTAGTGAGCGGAAAGAAAAGTAGAGTTTCTAGTAATATTACATCTCATTTAATAGTGAATTTATTTTGAATATTTTCCTCATAATTTGTTCTAAGAAATGTTCTCAAGTAAAAGGGATTAGGTTTCAATTAATATTTACTTTAGTTCTTCTAGGACAATAGAAGGCAAAGTTAATTATTTTCCACTAGTTTTAGAACTGCATTAACCATTTCTAGTAACTTTATAAATAGTATAATAATATTTTTATTATATTACATTGTAGCAGATATATTTGGTTAAATTTTCTCAAATAGTAATTCCGATGTATAAATTAATTTATATGCTTTTGAGTAAATGAATTTTTAATGGACATCTTGTTATTTGATTTTCTTCTTTTTATTTGAAATCCAATTTTTATACATACAATATAAGATGTATAAAAGAAAAACGAAACTAATCGAAGTAGAAAAACGAATTAATCAAAGTAGGAAAAAAATATAAGAACAAACAATGCCAACTTTTCGTGTTTAAAGACAGAATTGAACTAAAAAAATTCATGTTGTACTTTCAAATTTCTTTTTTTTATTTGAAATCTAATTTTTATAAGCGTAATATAAGATGTGATTTCGTTATCTCAAGTTTTCAATTTTTTAAAGGAAAACAAAATTCAAAGTAAAAAAGAATAAAAGAACAAACAATGCCAAGTTTCTATGTTAAGACTGAATCAAATTAAAAAAAAAAGTTCATGTTGTAGTTTTTAATTTCACCTTTGTGCTATTCTTTATTTCCATTTTTTCAGCTCCCCACCCCCTAGTTGTTATACACTCCTCATACGCCTTAATCACGTTTTGGATCCTTCCAGACCAATCTTTCATCAATTTGCCACCTCTTGGCAAAGTAGGCTGATGGGCAAGCCCCCTCCTGTAGCAATGGTGTGGGGCGTCAGAGGCTCTTCTTCAACCCCAGGATGTGATGAGTCGACATCGAGGTGCCAAACGACTCCGTCGATAAGAGCTCTTGGGAGTCATGTGAAAAACACGATCGCCTGCCAGTGGAAGGTTTTCTGCGTTCAGTCAATCAAAAAGTTAAAATTTTACCACTTTATTATGATAATAACTAAACTTTTTCTGCCTTGTAGCTAGTACTAATAGAAGTGTATGATAAATATATTTTAAATTCTTCACATTCTATTCATTCATCATAATATTACTGCATGAACCCGCCAAGGTATTACTATAAACTATGCATTACTCGAATTTATTTTGTAGAGACAAAAACTTCGTTTACTAACTGAAAAATCAAGCAAGAAAAGAGATGGGAAAGGGAGAAAACTAATAAACTACTTAATATTCTTTTCTATTTCTTGTGGAATTAGACTTGTATGTGAAGCGTGTTTTTATTTTCTCACAAGCAAATTCAGCATAACCAAAACTCCGCTCAAAAATCCCAAATTTCAAAAACAGCTACTAACAATATACTTCAAAAATCAAAAATAATCCAAAATGCCAACAAAATTAACCTTCAAAGACAACCAAACATAAAATTTAAGCAATGAAATTACAATAAGTATAACACCAGAGACTAACATGCTAAGCACAATAAATATTTCAATTTTCAACAATTCGAGGAGAAAAAGGCCTCAAACACAAAGGGCAATACTTCCAACTAACATCAATGAAAATAGAAAAAGAAAAATGTTAAAAGCAAAAAAAAAAAAAAAGGTAAAATGAGGGGAGAAGGCAAAAAGCTGATGGCAGCACCAAAAAATAATCTTTGAGATGCATCTTCAAGCCTTTGGCTTTTTCTCCGCCATAGTTTTATCATCGGAGGGTTTCCCAACACTGGTTTCTTCTCAGTCTTATGCCTGCCCTTAGGGCTTTGGATTTTATAAAGCCAAATAAAAAAATATTCTAAGAAAATGGATACAGGGATTTGAGGAAAAGAAATAAATGCAGTAATAATGAGGGGGAGAAAACGGAAGAGAAGTAAGGAAAAGATGAATTTGAAGAAAGGGAGTAAATAGAGTAATAATGAGCATAAAGAAAACGGAAGAAAGAGAGATGAAATAGATTTGATGAATAGCAATAAAAGGAGTAAGAATGACAAAGAGATTTTTTGCATTTTTTTTGACAGAAAATAAGAAAAAAGTTCAAAATCTGAGAAAAAGATAAGCTATCATATTGGTTAAAGAAGTATGCCACGTTACCTTTTCTATTCCCCAACTTTATATTTATATATAGATTTGATGGTGTAAGAGAATATTATGTATTGTTAGTACACAAAACTTAGCTCATCATTTTATGAAAAAGTTACACGAGACAACAAACATATAGACTATATTTACCATTCGTAACTATAATTTCAGATAATTATTATTTGTAGTTATATTTATAACAAATCCACCTGTAGTACTGAAACAAGAGATCAATTGTTTTCAACTGAAATATGAGAGCAACTAGCTCTCGTAGCTTTAAAACATTTTATTTTTCTGTATTTTTGTATTTCGGCTTGGTTATATTCGTTGCGCAGATGAATACAGTTGAAACATACTGTATTCGTTGCTTGTCTGAATATAAGTGATACAAGAGGGTAAGAATTAAACAGTAGCTACGAATGATAATTAGGAAAACTATAATTAGGTATGGTAATTTGGCTCGAAACGGTAGTACTTTATGAAAATTCCTCCAATTTTATAAAGTTTCAGTCTTGTAACGTTATTAGTAAATTTTTCTCTTTTTTTTTTTTAAACTTCTAAAGATGGCCGACCATTTTTAGAAATTATGAGAATTAAGTTGCTTTACAATAAATCGTGATACTAATTGCCAGCAATAATGAGATTGATAACAATTGGTGAACTGCTGAGCCCAGCTTCAATTCGTTGGATTATTATAACCATATGCTATATATATTACATATATCATTTTCATGTTGTAATCACTCTCGTTTTCAACTTTAACAGTGACAACTGCCAAACAAAAATATGTTTCTGAATCTGATTGGTCATACGTTTGGAATTTGATTAATCTACTCTCAGCCTCAAGTGCATATAACTTTGTTTACCTCAAAAATACGAATAACAATTAAATTTAATTTGTGGTTTTAAAGATATGCCATTTAGTTCAATACCAATATAGTTAAGGAATATGAAGTAGAAATGAAAAAGATAAGTGAATCAAACCAATGTTACTTGACAGTAATGACCTCGAGATGGGCTAAGAGCAATAAAGTAAGAAAAGTAAAGCAAGACAACAAAGCTAAAGGACAATGCAGATGAACAATAAACAAAAAGTAGAGAGTATATTCTTTTTTCAGTGATTGTGTATTACAAATGATTGGGGCCCCCCTTTATATAATAGGGGAATCCTAAATATGGAATATTTCTATTTACAGTAGGGAATATTCCTGATACAGCTGTCTAACCGCCTAGTACGGAATCGTAGTATCATATTCCGGGATTTGCGCCATGATTTTGGGGACGTGGCAGGAAACTAGCTCATTCTGTTACAAATCCATAACGGTACTATTTCGGGGTCGAGCACACTTGGCCTCGGTATTCCTCGAACTCCTATCCGGGCATTGCACTCTGTCTTCGAGCTCGAGTCTGGTCCGCCGGGCTCGAACTCGACTTTGCCCGGACTCGGGCTTAAGACGGACCCTCGAGTTTATAAATCGGAGGCATATGATTTTGACCGTATATAAACTTTAAAAGCTTTAAAATAGTAGTACACTTTTTTCTCGCTGATCGAGCAAAAAACAAACCTATGTAAATAGTTCAGTCTGATAAAAGCCTATTATCTTGGACTTGATCGTGCCCTTTGGGTCGGTCAGGCTCATGTGACATTCGACGTCAATGACGAATGCTGCCCCCCCCAAACCCAAACCACACACACAAAAAAACCCAAAAGGTTGTACATTTTATGTAGAATTTATGGGGTTTAAGCACTGTTAATAAGTATTTTCACTTGAATTAATAGGCTGAGTCGCTGAGACATCAAAATGGTCCACGTAATTAAATGGAATGTGGTTGAGTTTGGTAGGGAAGTTCATTGGTCATTTCTTTGTCCAATTTGTAGGTCATAATTAATTGCTGAAAAAGCGTGTTGTGAACATCTTATGATGTGAGCTGAGCACTACATGCTGGGTCTCAAATTTCTTTCTGTCAACTATCTCAACTAACATAGAAATCCAGTATTAATACGTACTTTGGAATATCTTCCGTGTACACATTGTGATTAGCTCAACTCAGAGATAGTACTATACACATTCTTTTTTTGACTTTTAAATGCAACAATTCGATGTTTACTAAGGTGATGTAATAGATAAAAAGTAGGGACCTACCCAAAACAGTGTATGTTCAACAGTTCTTGGTAAGTCAATATGTTGACTTATGGGCTAGCTCATTGAGCCAACTTTTTTGAAGCCTAGAGTGATGATCATCAGAGGCAGATTCAAGATTTTAAACCGATTGAGTTCGAAATGCTATGTACTCACCGGCCACCGCTCCTTTGCAATATTTGATATGATGTTAATATAAGTATTTACTTTTTGAATGATTTTTAACTTGATACAGGGGAAGGAGCTGATAGAGATTCATGTTTCCCCCACTTTCTTCCACGTAAAATTTGCAGTCTTGAACTGCATCATGCAATTATCAATGATCATAAATCATGCAAATTGGCTTGATTACCTATTCTCCATCATACTCAAATGCTTGCACAGATTTCTCATACTTATCTGCATATTTATATCTTAGTGAAGAGAGCAGCCACCAACAAAAGCCAACAATATCTACTTTCTTTTCTATCCTCACCCTAAGTTCTTTGCATAACTAATGCACTGTATTCTTTATGTTTTTCTATTTCTCCAAAAGGCCTTTTTAATATAGCTTCCTCATACTTCAATTTTTTCTTGTTAAGTGACCTTATTCACAATCAAAATTGTTGTGCAAATAAACATAAGAGAAGCAATATGGGAGAGGGCAAAGTCTTCGTATGGAGTCTCAGTTTCTTGAGTTTGCTATGTGTTGGGCTTTATGGGTGTGTTCAGGTTGAATCAATCCGAGAAGGGAAGTTTTTAACTTCTCAGACTAATAGAATGGATAAGGCTGCCAATGTAGTACTTACAACAGGTGGTTATGGGAAAGGTATTGGAGGTGGCATTGGTGGAGGCGGAGGTGGTAGGGGAGGGTTAGGATATGGTTTTGGAGGCAATAATGGGGGCGGATGTGGAGGTGTTGGTGAAGGGATAGGAGGAGGTGGTGGTTTAGGCTATGGCGCTGGTGGTGGAAATGGTAACTGTGGGATGGGTGGAGGATCAGGCAATGGCCAAGGTAGTCCTTATGGTGGAGGTAGCGGTAATGAAGGTGGATTTGGCGGTGGTTTTGGTGGCGGAAATGGTAATGGTGGTGGCTTTGGTGGAGGAAATGGTGGCGGATATCCAGGTTATGGTGGTGGCGGGCAGTCTAAGTTTCCGCTAGTGGCTGCAGGTAGGAACTAATGTAGTAGTATGCTAGTGTTAATTAACTACATTAGAGATTTCTTAAGTAAAAATAAGGACAATGTTGTACAACTAGTTTACCTTTTAAGCTATGTAAGCAGCAAAGCAGGTCCAGAACCAAAAAGGGTATAATAATAAAAACCAAAGAGATTCTTATTTACTTCATATAATAAAAAGCCACTGAAACAAAGAGATCATTGTTTATCTAAATACAGTGTCATTTTTATTCAGTGGAAATAGCTATTTACATATGCAATGTAGATGCATAATCCAATAAGGAAACATTAGGGAGCGAACCAAGTTGTGTTATGAACTGCAAAGACCTCAAAATCTTGAAGCAGTAATTGCAGTACACCTGCTGTTTGAGTTCTTCTCATTCTTTATCCTGAAAGGAACATATGACAACAGCTATAAAGCAGTTTTAACTGCTGCAACTAGCTACCAATTTCTTCAAACAGAACATATTCTACATGCCTAATAATATCGAAAGACGACATCTGAGTTACTAAAGAACTAACTTTTAAAAGCATTAGGATACATACAAAATAACATTAGCTCACATATTTTATAATTGTGAAAAGAACCGATGTCCAATCTTAGAGAAAGAGCAGATCGATATATATCTTCTGCACGAAACAAAGCTTTTAATTTCTTTTAATAAAGTCTGCATGCATCATAGTCCCCACGACATTTACACCCCCGACACTTCCTTGATCAGATTTTGAAGCCACCTTTAAAACTTTGAGAACATTAGCATCATTGTCCTATCACTAGCCGTCGCAGCTATCAGTTGTGTTAAGTATTAACCACATTCTCCCGTTCATCAGCTTCACATTTAAGATTTAACTCGAGCATTCAGGGGAAGTCCTATATACACCAGTTTGGATCAAAGTTCTATCCCTACCCTTTGTATAGGCATTATCTTGCAAAGCATATATGTCTGTTTCAGAGGAAAACTGAATTTTGCTGGACAAAAATTTTGTTCTCATACTTTAGAGCTACTTAGTTTTCTAATGAACTTATCTTTCGAATCATGGTGGATAGTAAATTGGCTTTCTAGATTCTGGTCTTTCTCTCTATTTCCCTTTTTCCCAAATCTATTACCACTTTTCCGTTACAGACTGATTTTGATGGAGATTATGAAACACTAAAAATTGAAAAAAAAAATGGTATAAAAGATGGAAGTCGCGAAAATATTCATCCAGAAAGATAACGAGAGACATTGCGATCACATAGTCAAGCATTCTCCTTCCTCAGCCAACCAAGATACAAAAGCAAAAACAGGATTTCATGTTTTCTCTCAGGTACTTGTATGAGTTTCTTATCAGCAATTCAAGATATAAACGGATGGATTTTTGATCTGACAGTAAAGATGAATAATTTACATAGTCGGTTCCTACAGTTACCAGTAATTTAACAGATGAAGCCATTATAGATGAAAAGGAGCCAATTTATAAAGTTATTTAATTTTCAAACAACTCCATGTACCGGGCCTGAATGAAAATGAAAAATGAAGCAACTCTTTTGAGCTGTCATATATTCCAAAAAGCTTCGAATATCAGGCCAGAGTTGAAGATGGACAACATTCAAGTGTAAATAACCACTCAAGGAGAGGAAGCATAGACCATGGTTGAAAATGGATACCAGTCTACTGTACACTGGCTTAAGCACTGATTTAACGGCGCGAAGTGATACGATTTGTGAGATAAGGCATATTGTTGCAAGAATCCAACAACAGTCTACACTAATGTAATTTTTCGTGATGAGCTTAAGACAACACAGCCTCAAGTAGACAGAATGTTCTGGATTGATATTCTTTGAGATGCAATTAAAGCCCCAAACATTGAATAAAGTATGACTGATTAAAGTTCCTCATAAACAAGAGGACAAATCTCAAAAACTTGGACTAGGTTTCTCTGTAACATCCCAGACTTTAGACAGAGTCCCACATCGACAAAAACACAAGAGGGATGCTGGGTATATAAGTTAACAAGCCTTAGACTCTAGTGACGCGTTTTAAACCCGTAAGGGCCTAGGCCAGAGCGGACAATATCACTAGCAGGCTGGGCTATTACATTGTCCTAACAGGATATTTGAGTGAAGACTGCAAATTGGAAGTCTGCAGCCTTCTAGCATTTGAAAATTCAATAATAAAGGCTAACAAGGCAATTTAACTTTTAACTACTGAAAGAAAACTGTGAGAAGGACAAGAAGAAACTTCACAGAATCCGGCATTTAACAACAGCAAATATTTTTTAAACCCAGACTAGTCAGTATCCTAGAAGTGACAATTTACATAGTAAAACTTGCAATAATCCAAGAAAAGTTTGGTCATGTAGAGTGATTTTTCTTTTTTAAATATTTTCACTAGTTTTTTAAGTTTAAATATTCAATCTACAGCAGGGTTGAGGGCCAAGTTTCAACAGCATGGAACATAGCTCCTTTGGATTCCTTAAACAAGTGAACACCACAGCTAGAAAGCTTCAGAATTTAATCGCTTTAACAAATTATGCAGCACTACAGAATAAAAATGAGTTATAAAAGAATATCAATCACCTTTTCACCTCCAGCAAAATCAACTCCCTCTGCAGCATGGTTCATTTCCTGTGTCCTGTAAATACATGCAAAAGCTAGTGAAGAAGGCAAGATGAGCAAAAATAATCAAGAGTCGACAGAAACAAAATGAACTATTGAAAATCACGGAGGACATAATGAGGAAAGGGTTTTAGAACTACCTTTCATCTTTGCTTATATCATTAAAAGAATCTTGAGCGGAATCTTGATCTCCAGGCACTTTAGTTTCCGAAGACCCTACTTCACTAGCCTCCTGCATAGCAAACCATTAGGAGTGAGCATTTCACTTCTGCAGTGACAGTTCATGAAAATCTATGAGTAATATATCCAAAAGAAAGAACTTAAGGGAAAATTTACAACCTTATTATGATGCGTCCATCCGGGAACATGGTCTGACAAAAGCTTAATATACTGCTCCATAGCCACCTCCGGATTCATGCTTCCCGTTCTTTGCCATGCATTCCTTGCACAATGGAATTATTGTCCTCCATCACTTACAGATAGCAGCTTTCATTCCTGTTGTATAACTAGCTATCAAACTACACCCTGAAAGTAGTTTGAAGGTCTGTCCTTTACTTCTTATTCTATTTACTCTAGGTATCTTATTCTAACACAATTTTCTTATGATATAACCGTGTTACTTATCATCCTCAGTTTCCTGCCTCCTTCCTCTAAATCTCACTATGAAATTCAGGCTATACAAATCTACTAGTTTTAAGTCAAACTATCTTAGACACAAGAGATTCATTAAAAAAAAGCAAAGAAGAAATGCTACTATGCAAGGGAAAAACTACATTAGGTAATAGATTCAAGGAATCGAATTGTGATTGATTACACTTTCTGTCTATAGAACTATATGTGAGTTGATGATTTATCATCCCCATTTTTAGCAGCATTCCTTTGGTTCTATTCATCCAATGATCTCTAAAGTCGAAACCTCACTCGACCAATGCAAGCACTTGCTACACAAACTTTACTTTTTTCATTCAAGCAAATCAACAAACAATTGAAAAACTTATGCAACTGAACTAGAGTTCCAACAATTTGCTAAAGCTCATATTGTTCAGAGTAAAAGATCAATACCATTTGGCGCGAGCAAAGACTTTCAATGCCATTGGTTGAGGCTCATAACAAGGTCCTTCCATTGCAATTTTCTGAAGTCCAAACAACTGCATCATCAATTCACTCCCTAAATTCTCCTTCCCTTTTCCCATATCCACAAAGTTTACAGCTTTAACAAATTCTTCCTCTAATTCACTTCTCTCAATTCCCTCCCAATCATCATCACCATCTCTCTTCTCATTTTCAATCACTCCAACATTTTCAACAATCTTTTCTCCCTTAAATTCATCACTTTTCTTTAAAATATCCTCATTTTTTTCCTCAACAAACACTTCCTCTGAATCTACTTTCTTTTCTCCACCATTTTCAGACTGATCAACTACACCTCCAACTTTACATGCCATTAATTCAATATGATCAACATTTTTAACAACTTCTTTTTCAACAAATTTGACTCTTTTCTTGCTTTTTCTACTCTTGACAACCAACCCTTTTGTAATCTTGGCTTCTTCAACAACAGTTTTCTCTTTGTCAATCTTTTCATTGTTTAACACTGCAAGTGAAATAAATTTCACAATTATGCAAGAAAATACAAGAGCTGCCATAGCAGTTACAAAGAATTCTTGAAAAAGATCCATTTTTTTTCTTTCCCAAATGATCAAAGATTGTTGAGATAATAATAAGAAGAAGAGTTCAACTTAGAAATGAATTTTGAAAGGATATGAATGGTTAGGAAAATGTGGGAAAGAATTAATGATGTGGAATATTACTATGCTTAAGTAATTTTCATACTATAATATGGGGAAGTTATTAATCAGAAACGGATATTTGAAACTTAGAGTAAAGTATATTCGGTTTTTCTGTTTCTATGATTAGAATTAATTAGGAGTATTACTTTTTTGTTTCTTATCTAAAAATTGCGTACACTAATTTTTTTGGTGGGTCCCAAAACATTGGCATCTTTATTTGGGGATTGGTTATGTTGAGAAAAAGCGTTAAGGTAGGGCCCATCCTACACGTTTGTTCATGTGTTTCCGCCTATCTTATCGTCTCCTCCCATTTCTGACGTGCCCTCTTCAAGTCAAACTTTTATCCTTTTTTTTTTGAATAATATTTTTTGGTATTTAATTGGAGAGGTCCAAAATATTTTTTTTGAAGAATGTTTAATATGAAATGATACAAATTTCATCACATGTATATTGAAAATTTGATCAAATTTTTTAGTGTTTTAAAGATTTCTCATAATGCCTAATATTAGTCGGAGCAAATAATTTGGAGTATGAATTAATGTACCAAAAGGGAAACGTTTTCAATCTATAAGCGATGGAAGAAACTTCAAATATATTTCTGTAATAGAATAATAA